CATTTTTATTTTTTTCTCTTTTATTTCTCTTTGATAATAATAATAATTAGTTTTCCTTCTTTTTTTTCGGTTGGATTTTCGTGAGGTTGAAAGTTAATTTTAATAATAATAATTTTCCTCTAAAATTTCCTTTTTGGTAATAAATAATAATAATAATAATAATAAAGGATTTTCCTTTTCTCAAAAATATATAAACACAGATTGCTTATAATAAAAAGGATATTATCAAAGGAACGGAATTTCCTTTTACGATTGGAATTTACTCACCTGAGGATTTATATTATTATTATTATTATTATTAATGCGTAACCTTTTTTCGATTTATGAAATAATTTTAAAGAGATAATATAAACAATGACATTTTCATAGTGAACAAAAAAAAAAAAATTATTTTTTTCGTTATTATTTACGAATGGATATAAATAAAATTTTAATTTGAATTGATTTTAAATGATAATGTAAATAATGAAAAGAAAGATGGCGCGCGAGTGCAACGGTTGACGTGCGTTTACGTCATGTCAAATTTATTTAAATTAATTTTAATAGTTTTTTTTAAAAATTTAGTTATTAGTTATGTATCAAAAGTTTTGTTATTTAGTGTAGTTTATTGTTATATAATTAGTTTTTTATATTATTCAGTGATAGTTATGTTATTTTAAGTTTTAATTTACAAAATGTAAACGGTTTCATGTGACAAATGGGCGCGTGGGGAATGGAAAATCTTAGAAGATGCCTTAGTACATTTAATTATTACGGGTAAGTGTCTCATTTTAAATTTGAATTTCGCTTGCAAAAATGTTAGGTTAACAAAGAAATTGAGCCAAATACCCTACAAACAAACAGTTTTCAAATTCTGCATTTATTTGGTTAATTATAGTTAGTTTGACTAAATATCTTTTTCATTTCATCATAAAAAACAATAGTTGAAGTAATTTAATAAAAATATTTAGTAATTAATGATTTGATAAGTTAACTCAGTGTAAAAGTTCTATAACCTAATCTTAAAGGGATAATTTACTGATTGTTGGTTGTTTTAGGCCTTTTCTTGAGTTAGTTTGTTTCATTACAACATAGTTTATCATAAAGGTAGTGTGATATCCCCTTTAAATCAGTATTAAAATCAGGAAAACACATTAGCCTTTATGTTAGTTGATTGTAATGTAAGGAATTACAAAAAGGCCCATGAGCAGACTCCATTTGATAATTTTACATTTCTTGACCTGATTATTAGTAGTTGAACTAAATATGTTTGTCATACTGCATGAAAATGGTGATAGTTTAATAAAAATACTTGTAATTAGTTAATTTATTGCATCAGATGGTTGTTTTACACTTACATACTTTATTACATACACTTTATACTTTTGTTTTAAGTGTGCATCTATTGATTGTATAGCATCTATTGTGTGTGATATTGATTTTACATTACTTTAACCTCTTTCTTAAGTTAGTTTGGTTCATTATAACATATTATATTATATGTTTAGTGTAAAAGTCTCTTTTAATGTCATTTAAGATTAGAAAAATTCAACTGCCTT